ACTGTATCCTCGACCAGGAGACAACTTGGTCCAGAGAATAGAGCAGAAGGCTCTGGAGTCGCACAGACAAGATCTGATTCTGGTTCGTGCCTCTGAACCAGCACTAAGCTCTCTGAGCTTAAGCTCCGTTTTCCATAGAACTGGATTGATAACAGATATTGTCAGAATGCGAAAGCCTCTAATGTAAGGCATGATATACAGTCAGTTATCAAAGAATGCTTATTCTCGGAACTTCTGTGTCTCTTTTTGCTCACTTACTCAGCATTCGGAGAATTCGATGAAAAATGCTCAGCGCACATGACAGAAATAAGAAAATGCAAGATTCGGTCTTTCCAGCCGGCGCCAAGCCATGGGCATCTCTCTGGACAACTGGCACAAGCGCCACAGACCGGAGGGGCGGGGAGAGAAAGCTCTTGCACAAGAAGCGAAAATACGACCTAGGACGCCCCACTGCCAACGCTAAGATTGACCCCCACTGCACACACACCGTCCATGCACAGGGAGGCAGGAAGGACCGTGCCCTGAGGCCGGAGGTAGGAGGGGATTACTCCTGGGGCTCCCAGGGTTATATGCACATAACAAAGATTATCCACGTTGTCTACCACGCATCCAACGTGGACTGGTCCACGCGAGACCCTAGTAAAGAAGCACACCATGCTCACTGACCGAGGGCACATGGTACCGACAGCGACACCAGCACTGCTCTCCACTGCCCCTAGGATGCGAGAAGGGGCTGAGCTGACTCCCGAGGAGGAGATTTTAAACAAAAAACGATCAAAGACAATTCAGCAGAAACATGAGGGAAGGAAAACAAATGCCCAAGTCAGCAGTCTTCTAGAGAAGCCGGTCAAGCAAGAGCAGGGCAAGCTTTTTGCATGCATTGCTTCAAGACCAGGCCCACGTGGCAGAGCAGATGGCTATGGGCTCTAGCCAGGAGCTGGAATTCTCTCTGAGGAAAATCAAGGCCCAAAAAGGCAAATAAATCCTCTTCCTCTGTCTTAGCTCATGTAACAAAGGTGTTTATTATGAAAGGAAAGAATGCAGAACACTGCTGGGTTTGCTGGGGTGGCAGGGAGACCCTTTTGCTGAAACCTAATGAGAAATAGTAGTTTTACTCTGATAGATAGAAGTAGAGGGCATTGCAGGTAGGAATAAAAAGAAAGAAAAGAGAGAAAGGAAAGAAAAGAAGGAAAGGAAAGGAAAGAAAGAGAGAGGGAGGGAGGGGAAGGAAGGAAGGAAGGAAGGAAGGAAGGAAGGAAGGAAGGAGGAAGGAAGGAAGGAAGGAAATAAGGAAATGCGGAAATGCAAGACTCTGACACTAGCGAGTGTCCTCAGTTACAATGCTGAGTGAGAAAAGCACTGGCAGAGACCAGTATGAAACTGCAGAGTTGGGCAGGTTAATTCAGGAAGACTCTTTCCAGGATCGGGGTGAGTTTTGAAAGGCATCCATAGCATATTCGGAATGAAAGAGTCTTAGAAAGAGATGGGATCTTGGAGAGCATCTGACCCGAGGTTTTGTGAAGTGTGAAACATATCCCACTGGGGATATGAGAGATGTTTTTACATGGTACATGGGCACTGAAAAACAGAGCACACAGTGAGAGTTATTCCCCTTCCAACCCTTGTAATCCTGATTACATCATGAAGAAAGTATCAGTCTGTGCTAGACTACCTTTAACCTGTCATAAGAACCCATTTAAACAACAACAAAAAATACGGCTGCAGGATCATAGCCACCAGGAGGCCAGAATATCTAGGTAATTTAAAATGTTGTTTTATTTTCATTGTCTTCATTTTTTCCTATTTACCTTCTGTTCATATTTTATTCCATTTACATTGGTGATATAAAGAATTCTAAGCAGTTTTAAATTTTAAAGGGAAATAAATTTAAAACATTAAGGAAATAATAAAATAGGTGGGTTACACTTAGGGCAAACAGTCATAACAGTGGCCCTACAGTGAGTGAAATTTAGGAAATGCTGATCTAGCCCAACCCTCCCATACGCCACTGGATGAAGAAATCGAGGTTCAGAGAAAAGTAGGTACTCTTTTCCAAGATGACATAGCTGGCTGTCCTGAGGCCTGATGCTCAGTTCTCCTGTACCCCTCCTCATCTAATTTGGCACCAGACAACAAATTCTAGTGTTGAACTACGATAATTACCTTAAAAAAAAAAAACGTGACCATGTGCTGTGGGTTTTCAGGAAGGGACTGGTTCAAGAGGCTGGCGAATGTCATAGGGGAGGCTCACAGGAGACAAAGACTTGTCTAGAACCTGATGGCTGAGGTCTGAGCTGCTCATCAAGTCTAAAGCTGTCCCGAGGGTACCAAGAAAAGTCTTGGAGTCAGCCTCCAAAGGTTGTAGAGGCAGAGATTCCTCCTGGATTCTGTCAAAGATGGCTTGAATCCCAGCGTCTCTACTTGGCAAGAAACCAGAGAACATGTCTCAGCTCATCTCTACTCTTTACTTATCTGTAAAAATGTATAGACATGACAACAGCTCACGCTTATTGGGCACCTCATCTACCAGGCCCCTTTGATGCATTATCTCACTTAACCCTCGAAAGAACACCAGAAGGCAGTCATCTCCATATGATAAATGAGGACATTTGGACCCTGAATGATTACAGTGCTTCCCAGCATCTCTATAGCTAAATGAGCGAGGGAGTAGGATTCAAACTCCAACAGCCCTCAGTCCAGAGTCTGGCCTTAATCACACTCCTGTACTGTGAAAATCAAATGCAAATAAGGGCTGTAAAGCATCTAACACAGTGCCTGTGCCTGGCATATAAGAGGCAGGGGACATCAGCACCTTCCTCACCCTCCCTCCAGGTCCACACGACAGCTGCCAGTCACTTTCAGTCTGGCATCTAGAACCTTCTCCACATGGAACTTGCCTGGGACTACAATTCCCAGGATGCATCAGGCAGAGAAGCTGACCAATCAGCAGCCGGGTCTCACTTTCACTGCTCGCCCCACCCACCTAACGGTCAGAGCTTCAGTGACGGTTGGACTGGTGGGTGCTGACACGGTCCAGGTTGTGGGTAGGACAGGGTTACTCGGTTTTAAATAATCCTAATCTGGTTTGAGGAGGTGAAGATAGTTGATAGCTGCATCTTCAGCCGTCAAACTGTCGGGTCTCCCAGCCCGAAGCCCCCAAGGGCCCGGGGCTCCTCAGGGGGTGGTGGCGTCGGGAGCGGGTGGCGGTCTGGCTGAGTCTGGACAGCGCCCCTGCTTGGCTGTAAGCCGGGGTCCCACCGAGAGCATTTTACGTCTTCCTGATAGGGTTTGGGAGCATTACTGTGGCAACGTCGAGGCTGCCTAGGGCTCCATCTTCAGGCCCCAGACCGCGTTAGGGGGACTGTCCGCAACGCACCCCGGAGCCCCCGAAGACCTGGGGCTCCTCACGGGTGTCGGTTGGGCCGAGAAGGAGGGGGTTAGTGCCTTAGCTGCCTCAGTGGCTTCAGCCGAGGTGTCCCGGCCTCTGACCCCACACCTCCCTCCACCCATCTGGTCTCCCTTCCCACCTCCTGGAGGAAGTGCTCTTTAGCCTCTCCTTTGATGGCCTGACTCGGCTCCCCGAGGAAGGCCTGAAGCAGCTCTGGCCTCTCTCTAGCTCTGCCCTCCGACCCCACCCACCCATGGGTGCCTGAGAGACCCGGAGAACCAACCAGACCTCCAAGAGGGGAGGGTCAACTTTCTTGGGCATTTCTCTATCCATTTAGTTTCTACTTTTTTTTTTTTTTTTTTACATTTATATGTTTAATTTCATCATCCCCACCCCTTTAATTTCTTGATCATCTCTCCTTTCCCCTCAAACCTGAATCTCTTGATTTGCCATACCCAAGATAACTGCCACTCCCCTTTAGCTCCAAGGAGCCTGTAGGTGGATAAATAAAATGGATTTTATTTATTGTCTGGGAAAAAATTTTATTTCCTTTACAGTGGCTCTGAAGCGAGTGAGAGAAATAGGAGCAATCCGACTCAGGAAAAAGCGGAGACAAGGAATTAAAGGTCAGTTTGTTTTCATTATTTCGGGGAAATCATATACTGCCTCCTGACGACCCACCTTTTGCATAGCTGGAGTCGTGTGTGCTAATGACTTGTGCATAGCTCAAGTCATTTCGAGAGATTTGAATGGCTGAGCTTAGATTCTAGTGAACCACCTACGTATTTGTTTCTGACACAATTGGTTAAATATATGTACTGTTTATATAACACAGTAACCTGTTGATTTATACATTTCAGTTAACCAAAATTCAAATGTGGATTGCCTTAATTCCCTAAGCTAAAATAGAAGTAGTTGTTTTGCCATCCTCTAGTTTTGCCATTCAGTAGTTAATGAATTATAATTGTATCTTGTTTTGAATTTTACCATCTATTTAAAAAAAAAATGGTATGTAGACTCTATCACTCAGTAAGTTAGAAAAAGACACTGCCTTAAAATTAGAGACGACCTTACACAATCGCTGAATTGTAAGATAGTTTATAAGTGCTGAGGCTTTCTGAAAAGGGGACATCTGCATTTCCATTGTAATGGCCCATCTTGTGGATGTGGTTTGATTAAAGAAGAAACCTCATCCCGAGAATTCTGGTGGGAGGTGTTTTCAGTTGATAAAATATTAACAAGTTGCAAACTCGTTAGAATTCTCATGTTAGACTTCTAACTGGTTATAAAGACTATTATTTTACAATTATTTGTTCTGAAATAATATTTTCTTTTTAGAAATACTGAAAATTTAAGTATTTTAAAGGTATACATAAATAGTTCAGATTTATACATTGGTTTTTTCTCTCTCTCTTTTAAAATCAGATGTTCAGGAATAATGTTTCTGACCATAAGCTAAATGTGGAAGCCATCATTAAAAACATTAACACAATTTCTTTGGAGTTGAAGAAGATGAAAGGTATGGAATAACTAAATGAAAATGTTTGCATAGTAGATCCAGTTTTTGCTCCTGCTGGGGTGTAAGTGAATTTCGCCCACTCATTAGGATTTCTCTATTTCTTAAATGCTTATCCTAGATCTATAAAGATGAATTATTTGAGAATATGGTTTGATCTAGGAGTTAGCTGACTTGAATTTCCATCCCCATCACTAACAAGCTTATGATGTCATCTAACTAACCTCTCTATAAATTTATTATCCTTCCTTCCCTTAAACAAACTATTACACAACATTGTCACATTCTGCAAAATTGTCTTATCCATTTATCCTTATTAAGCCCCTAAAGTTCCTCACAAATTAAAAATATAAGTTAGATTCCAAGTTAAGGGCTCTTCATTTTAAACAAATTCATAGAGTAGAATTAGACCTCACAGGTCATGCTGTGTAGTCACTCACCTTATAGACATACTCTTTTTTATCCTAGGCATGTAAAATTTCCATGACTGGACATTTCCAGCGATAATCTACCCCTTACAAAACAATTTCCTATGTTGGGAAGCTCCCTATCATCAGTCAACTTATTCCATTTTAAGATAATCACTCCTATGGGCTAGCTGAAATCTGCTCCCCCATTTCTTTCACCCACTGGTCCTATTTCTAACTGTGATTATATAGTTGTTATAACAGCTCTTGGATATTCGAAGGTAGCCTTTGTGTCAATTATGAGGTCTTCAGCTACAGGTAACAAAATACCACCTCACCATGGCTTATGCAAAAAGGAAAAGACAAGAAGATGCAAGGTAGGGCAGCCCTAAAGTTAATTGAGTTTTAAAAACTTCATCAGGCACTGGATTCTTTCTATATTTTAATTGCTGTGTTCACTCTGTCTCACACCTCATGGTCATTACCTGCAGACATGGCCATGTGCAGACACCGTCTCTGCCTGTGTCTGTATAAGCCTTTCCCCAGATCTCTCCAGCACATTTCCCCTTTCCTTTCATTGGCCAGAACTGCATCACATGCGTATGCCTACAGCAGCCACCGCCAAGGGGAATGGGACTCCCCAGACCAGTGTGGACCAGTCAGGACTTACCGCTGGAGCTGGGGAGACGGCCACCACAAATGAAATCCAATTGTGCCACCAGGAAGAAGAGGGGAGCGGCTGTTAGTTAGGCACCAAATAGTGAGTGCCGTTATGCTGTTTCTGCCTGTTCTACCTAGGGCAGCATTTCCCAGACTGCTGAGTGAACCCTGCTGTCTCAAGAGATGCTAATAGTACACAATAAAAATGTACTCCACATTCTTATGGTCAAATAAGTTTGGGAAGTGCATTATGCTCTATATTTCTCTCACACATTTACAGTACATATTAAAGGCACTGGGGAGTCTGAAGTAAAGAAATCTGGTTAGCTTTGCTTAATTTATTCTCTCTCAAAACCAATCTCAACTCTACAGCAAGGATTCTTTCTAAAATGTAAACCTGCTGAAAACCCTCATTGCCCCACCATTGTCCTCAGGATTAAGTCCAAAACTCCTAGAATGGGCTGTATGAAAAGCAGAGACAGAACCTACAAATAGATTCAATCGATGAGGAAGAAATGCAAATTATGAAGGGAGGTGAACACTTCTAGAAACTGTAATTAATATCCACAGAGGAGAGAAGATGCTATGTCCATGAAAAAGGAACATGATCATAAAAAATATTTAGAAAACAAAAGGGAGCTCTTGGAATTTAAAAGTGTGACAATAGAAATAAACTCTATAGAAGGTTTTAAATATAAAATGAAGAAAAATCCTTTATGGCGTAGAGCAAAAAAAAAAAAAAGATGGAAAGTTTTAGGGGGAAAATGACAAATCAGTCAGGGAAGTCTACTAACCAATAAATAGGAGTTTTGGAAAGAAATAACAAAATGAATGAGGAGGAATTCATTAAAGAAATAATCTGAGGAAATTTGCCAGAGTTGAAGAGTATAAGTTTTATAATGAAGGAGCCCAGCACAATGGATGAAAAAGACCCACGTCACAGTACAATACTGTGAAATTTCAGAGCACTGGGAGACCAAAACATTCTTAAAGCTTCTACAGAGAAAAAATTAAGAGTTAGCATTATGAAAATTCTCAATAGCAACACTGGAAGCTAGAAGAAAATGCAGCAAGGCCTTTGGAAATTTGAAGAAGCATGGTTTCCAACCTAGATTTCTATAATTGGTCAATCTATTAAGCATCGGTTGCAAAGAGAGAAGTTTTCAGACATATAATTTTCCCCCTTAGGAAGTTACTGAGGTTGAATTCCACCAAACAAGGGAGCAGACCAAAAAGAGAAAGCCATGAGATTCTGGCAAGAGGACCCTCCACACAAGGGAGGGGTGAAGGAGCCCCTGGGATGATGGTGAAGGATGTTCCCAAGATGCAACAGCACAGCAAGCTGGGAAGCTGTCCCTCCAGATGCAGCAGACCAGGCTCCAGGAAAGGAGGGTCTTCTGCCAGTGGAATAGCCGAGGCGCTTGGCTACATGGAGGGGGAATCTGGGGGGAAATCTGGGATCTATTCATGATAGCTAAGCAATGAAAAAAGAAAGTTGTTAACGCTGGGTGGTAGCTTGAAGGAAAGGAAATATATTTATTACAAGACTGCTGTGAAGAATATATAATCAAAAAATTTTAAATATTATGTATTGAACTAGCAAAAATTGGATTCAAGTATATTGGGTAGGGGGTATGAGTGAAAAGAGCTATATCTTAATATTCTGTAGTCAGAAGCAGATACTTAAAATTGAAAACTAAAATATGTGTATCATATAAAGATATGGAGGGAATACTAGCTACCGCCCCACCCCCCCCCCCAAACACACACACAACACACAACATACCGCCCCCCCCCCCCCCCAAAAGAAACTCCACACACACAAAACAACAATAAAAGCTACAAAAACAAGTGAGTTAAAGTGGTTGCCTCCAGGAGATAGGAACTGCTAGTTTTTTGGAACATGCCTTATAAACTTATTTGATTCTTTATACTATAAGGATGTATAACACATAAAAGTAAGTTAAAAAAAAACTGTAAATAAAGCTTGCATAAATCAAGTTGTAATGTAAGAGAGCTGACAAGTTGGCCTAAAGAACCCTTTTATAAAATTTTTATGTCATGCTGATTTTGTAGTATCTAAATTAGACTCGAAGTCACAATGAGCACACCTAAATTATAGTTTAATCAATAAGCACGTCGAAGAAAGCTATCAAGAATTAATAGCTTCTGAAAATAATAGCTGTCTAGGATATATGTGCTATAATACAGTATCTCTTATTTTGTTTTACACAGAGCTCTCCCAGTTACTGCTTTGTGACCTTATTCTACATTTTAATCATCCTGTGAAGACGGATGACTTCAAGGAAACAGAACAAAACAACTCCCTCTTTGAAGAGTTTAAAATATCAGATGTATCCCTTGGTTCAAACAGTTCTACCTGATTTCTTATTTGTTGTGAATTTATAACTATATATGTTGTTGAATTAATGTATCTGGGAGAATTGAGTTTACTGATATATTTAATATAATAAAAAACAAAAATATGTTGAGTTGTAAATAATCATTTCATATTCCCAAAGGCTGTTTTATTGTTATTTTAATATTTCAAAGAATGGCTAATTTATTTCACTAATGGCAAGGGTAAGACAGGACATTGGCCATGGGGCACTGTCTATCCTTTACCTTAGGCTCGAATTTGGCTCAGGCTGAAAGAGAGTCACTAAATTATAAATGGATGGTAGGAGCTTATATTAATCAGATCTCTCCTGTTAGCAAGTGCCAGAAACAGCTCAAGTTAGCGGAAGCATGTATTGGGTTGTGTGACTTGGACGTCCCTGGCTGGGGTAGATTTCAAGGACTCCACTAATTGGTCAGCTGTTTCTGTCTTGGTTCTGTTTCTGTGCATTGGCCTCACCCTGACCTGTGATGGACTGGCCACCTGCAAAAGCCACGTGGAAGGGGGTGGGGGGATAGAAACACGGCAGCAGACAGCTCTAGTGTACCGCTTTAACTTTTAGGATCCCCAGAGAAGAGAGATCCTCTGACTCAGTCTTTGTGTTTAACATTCCAGAGGACACCAGTTTTAGCTAAGATGTTGATCCCTAAATAGGGTCCTATGCGACTGTGATTCATGAAGCTGGGTCATATGCCAGGTCTGTGACCAAAGGAGGAGAAGCCCCGCCAGAGGACTGGAGTTGCCATTGCCTGAAGAAGGGGAGAAAGAACACTGGTCGTAGAAACATCAGGTATCACTAATTTCAGTCCTGACAGTGGAAAAACTTTTAGGATAACTTCATCCTAAAACTTTCTAATTTCTGTCCCTTTCCACCAAAGGAGACTTAAAATAATAGGCTTATTTGCCATGTAAACATGATTTGCTATCAAATAGTTGCTTTGGAATCTACGATGTCCTTCATTTTAGATATTTTTGAATAGAAAGGATAGAGTATTAGGAAGCAAGACACAAGGACAGCTCACTCCTCATGGTTGCTGTCCTCACCACCTGGCATCTAGCTCAGAGTTTAACACACAACAAGCACTAAATGAACGGCTTGGCTTGTCGAATAAACAAATAAATGCAGGTTTTTCGGCTTTATAACTTTCAAGTTCTGGACTAAATTGAGAACCACTGGTTTGTAAGGATGAAGTTTTACGAAACATTTTTATCATCATTCGTTAACAGTCTCCACATACTCATCATAGCAAATTGTCAGTTTCACCCGTGACTTCCGAGATCCCTTCCAATATTCTATTAGCTCGTGAAAATGAAGATGCGGCATTTTTTTTTACCACTTGGAAAACTCGTAAATTAAGCAGAGAAGCCAACAATTTTCATTGTTAAAGTTGTGGAATAACAACCAAGTGCCCAAAGGGGAAAACTTAACCATTGAATGCCAGATTTTTCTTTTGCAAAATACCTACTACTTTTAAGTGAGATATGTAACCAGAAGGAAAGAGCTGAATTGCTTTGCAGGATTTATAAAGCCTTTTTCGGCAAGGATGACAGAAGGGCTTTATGACAGTTGTCGGGGGGATAAAAAAGAGAAGAAAGCAATCTAATCAAAGTCTGATCAAATGTGTATATTCATTGCTTTTTCACCTTCATAGGAAGACTTGGTAAAATCTACATCATTTGACAATGCTTTTGGAATTGGGTGAGAGGTAGAAGAGGTGGGATGTAGTTGTTGAGATGCGATGAACTTAAATTCAGGTGTTATTTGACACCAAAACCTCATCTCTAAAAATTAAAATATTTTCTTTTGGTGTTTGTAGCTTAAATTTGCTTTAAGACAAAAATATAATTGTATAGACTAAACAATAAAGTCAATAAAGTTGTTTTAGGAACTCAAAAGTAAAGCAAAAGGCAAATTAATTTTAATCCCAGGAAGTTTAACCCAACATGCATTTATCTTTTCATAAAAAAGTATACAAAAAACCCCCCAGCAACAAGAACAACAACAAACAAACACCAAATAAGAAAGAATGAAATATTTTTGAAGCCTTTTAAATTATTGCTGCCAAGAAAGTGAATTTTAGTAGTTTTCTAATTATACATAAAAAACTGATGATTGCTTCTTACTGTTAAAGGTTTAGCTATAAAAAAAAAATCAGTTTTATGTGGTAGCAAAAATTATTAAGTGTTTTGAAACTTGCCCCCAAACAATTTTTGTAGCTGTGTAAACTACTGTACTTTGAAATGGGCGTCAAAGGTACACATTTTTATATGAATTATTGCAGTGCACCGCTAGACTTCACATGTGAATATTATTACTGATGTACTTTATAAACATTGAAGAAGAATAAATAAATTATGAGATATTTGACAGTCTTCATTTCAAACACTTAAGTAAAAGGACAAAACCCCCGTGCTCACGTCGAGGGGTTTGATTCAGTCCTAAGTGTCTGCCCAGTCGCCAAGGTTGACTGATCTTCCCGCGCGGGCAGCAGAGGCAGGAGGAAGGTGCACTTGCTGGCATCCTCGCTAGGGATAACGTGCAGGATATGTTAACGTACATTGGTATCTGGAACCTCGGTTTTTCCCGTCGATGAGCAGAAGTGGCATTTTCCTGAAGTAGTCGATAATATCTGACACAGACAAAAAGTCCTGAAAAATTCAAAATAGGGAGGTGAATTAACACTTCAAAGGGCAGCCTGGTTTTCACCCTCAGTTTTTATCTGTATCACATCCTACCTCTCGAAGTTATGAGGACTGTGGGGGAAAACCTATGAAAAATTTGGCAAATATTTTAGTGATTTCTGCTATAGAATTTGAAAAAAGTTCCTCACCCACATTCAACAAATCATGAATAAATGACTATATATTATAACCTCATGTAGCAGTTATATATATGTAGGGGGTCTAATTCTGCTACCCCTGCCTCTGTGTCTTTGGTTTGGTTTCTGTATCCTACCTTCACTCTCAATTATTAATAGTGCGAGGAGGTATAAGGAATCGGGAGGTCAGAGGTTATCCCTGGTGTCTGGGGGTGATATCTATAGCATGACATGACAAGGAATGATAGTTCCTTCCTGATCTCTCTGCAGTGTCGCCACCACCACACTCACGTTCATTGCCTGGATCACCCTACCCCTGATGGCCAGACTGGGAAAAACCCCATCCATCCTGCCAGACGTGGGTCAGAAGTCACGTGGTATCCCAGACAGGATCATGCACTTCCTCCAACACTACCCTGCTGCGTGCCTCCCTTTGGGGCAGCTGCGATCTGTACGTGTGTGTTTCCGCACCAGACCAGCGAATCCTGGAGGGTAGACATTTCTGCTTCGACAGGACCAGTGCAGCTCTATCCACATCGACCCGGTGATTCAAACATTTGACCCAAATCAGGTGTTTTTTTCCTACTCATTTACATAATCATAACTTAAAAATATTTGGAGTGAAAGGGAAGTTATGGGTAAGCCGTTTCTCATTCTGGACATGTTTGATTGAGCTGATCCCCCTCCTGGAACTTTGAAGTTAAAGAACATGTTTGGGGTGTTAAGTTTAGCTGTTAGTTTCTTAGCCCTGAAAGGTTTTTTTTTTTTTCACACCTGTCCGATTACCACCCAAAAAGTGTCCAGTATAAACAGCGGCTGAACAGACGAAAATGTCTTTGGCAATTTGGCCAATGAAGGTTTTCAGTGAGAACTGAACCAAGTATCTAAATAATTAGAACAAGAATTCTACTTTTCCCCTTTCCAGATGTCGATGTAAAATACAGCCTTATCAATACACTGCGATCTTACATTAAAATTATGTCACAAAGGTGAATAATGAAGGAACTTGCCTTGGACACCGTCCAATTGGATCTTTTTTAAAAAAAATTAAATGTTAACTTTTTTTTTTCTAATTTCAAAAGTTACAAATGTGATTTTAGATTACTTGGAATAAAAGGTATAAGAAAGATTCCTATGACAGAGGTAGCTACTGTTGATGTTTTGGTAAATGAAGGGTTCCACTAAGGTGATTTAACTCTAAAGTTGCCATATGGTGTAGACACCCAAAGAATCTTACAGCAAAGTTTCCTATAGTTAATTACGCAGAGAGGCATAGAAAGAGCATGGGGGGAAATTTTGCATCTGGAAGTCCTTACCTCCTTCCCTCGCAGTCCAGTTCCCAGCAAGTAAACTTGGCTTTCCTCCTGATAACGGATCTGGATGTTGTAAACTTTATCTTTGTACAACACCATGAGGACATACGGGTTGGTTATTGTCTTTTTAGAGCTGTCTCTAACCAGAAAAGTGCCATCCTAAAAGGATAAATTCTTGTTATTATGGGAACGGTAAAAGCCAATACTTCTGTTGCCTCTAAGAGCAGTAGACAAGTCTCTAGGGATCTAGAAAGCTATCATTGACAAGTAGTGAACATTCAGTTCCCCAAACAGCTACAAGATCCCACGTGTCATGGATTGCTTGGTTGTCAGGAAGGAGGCAGCAGTGATTGTATCAGAGAAATTTCCAAGTCGACCTCTTGATGAAAAAGAATCCCTTTTTCAGTAATAAAACGTAACAGGTGGTTGAGTGGATAAAGGGCCAAGTGAAATAAAGACTTTATTGGTTAACTAAAGCTATATCTTCCTATTCCTGGGAGCTAACTTCCTAACCCTTCTTTCCACATCAAAAGTCAGAAAATACCCAGAGACCTCTGAAATTCGCCCATTTTAAAACCACATGATCTCCAGATAGTGTTTCATCCACTACATACCCTAAGAAAATTGAATGTGGACCATGTGTGTGCTTAGATTTTTTTTCTGATATTAAAATAGTGTTGTGATTAAGTATTAAGTATCCTATACTTAAACTTTCATTAAATTATTGCCACATAATATTAATATTATAAAGATCTGATATTAAAATAGAATTAATTAATAAGGACACATTTAAACTTAAACTCTCCCTCCGTGTATTGAATCAGGATGGCTTTAAATAGCCATCAATCTGTGATTGTGGTTTTTCTTTGTTTTTGTTTTTAATTCCAAGTTAATTGAGTAAATTTTGGTCAGAATATCTCTGTTGAACAAACATACCTGTGGACCAGTGATTCATAGCCTTGCCTTCACTTGAGAATCATCTGGAGAGTTTTGAGGACTCCCAGAGCCCACATAGCACCCCTGACTAATTAAATCAGAATCTCTCCAGGTGAGATTCAGGACTCAGAATTTTTAAAGCTCCCCAGGTTATTTAAATGTGTAGCTAAGGGTGAGAACTACTGTTATAGCCTTGAGATGTGAAAGACGGAGGGTCTTTGCTTTCTCCTTTCCGATATATAGATTTAAGGTTAAATTTCAGCACCGGGCGACAGGAAATCTGGTTAAGACCTCATAATATAAAAGAACAGCTAGACATTTCTAGGGAAAGGCGAAAAGTCGCTGCCGTCTCTCCAGATACGGGTCCCTTCAAGCAATGTGAAAGGCAACCATCTATTAAGAGGAAGATGGAACCGGTAAGATATCAGATATTTTGGGAGGAAGAGAGTTTCTATTTGACATAGTATGATCGCTATGACAAGATGGACCTTTTCGGTAATAAAATCTCCTGAGATTCTGCCAGCCAAATGACGGCCTTAATTTAGACTTTCCCCTGGGACCTGGCAATCATTGCTATGGCCGCTGGTGGGCGTGGAGCTGGCACTGATGGGTCCTCTCCGTGTAACAGCGCAAACCCAACAGAATTCCTAGCCCATAACTGGCACTCAGTGAAAGTCAGTCCCCCTTTTCACCTTCCATTAATATTTATAACTATTTAAAAATAAACTTCAGCACAGTACCTGGTTTATCTTTCTGAGAGCAGCTTCTGCCTCTGGTCGGGTAATATAAGAAACATACCACTCTTCATTTAATAAATTCTGAAAATGTAAAAATTTAAAAACAGAATAAATTTTGCAGTGACGTATGTAAGTGAAAAAGAAAAGCCTCCAAGTCATTGTTTCCATAAATAAACACCTCCATTCCATGAGGTTTGAAACATGTGTTTTCTTAATATGAAATCAACCATCCCAGTGGGGCTAAATAGAAGATATTTTCTGTGAACTGCTTTTTGTCACGACACTGGGTGCAAAGGTAGCTACGAATAAGCACCTTATTACATAATGGAATCTCAAATCTGGAAAGATATAGATGTAATAATTTATTCCATTTAATATAATAATACACTTAATATTATTAAGAACACTAAGGAAAAAACATATTTTTCACTTAAAGCATCCTCTCCTTAAATTTTTTTTTTTTTCACTAAAAGAGTACACAGTGCTCCCACTGTGTAGTGATGATTCCTTTGCTAAGAAAAAAAATAAAATGAAAACATGCTTTGTTACCTCTCCTTCCATAGGAGATGGTGGCCGAGGTTTGCTGGGGACTGGCAAAAAAAAGTTCCTGCCTTCAGCTCTGGGAGGTAGCCTGCTGCCAGTGCCTTCGAAAAAAAGTATAGCATTTTGAAAGTTAATTTACTTTGAGCTCTTGTTCTCTTAATTATGCATGCATCATTCATTCATAACACATTCCTCCCCCAAATGGCCTGGTAACTATTCCCAACAATTAACATTTCAAGAAGCTGTGCTTCGAAAATAATTTTCACCTGTTCAAAACCACAAGGGCTGCTCAGGCATTATTCTATAGCCATGCCAATGCCATTTTGAGAGCAGTGCCGTAAATTCAAGAGATTTCTTAAATGTGCGTATTACATAATGTAAAGTGACTAGATCCATGGATGAAAAAAAATCACAGTCGTTTTAATGTGACCATCAGAAAGAACATTCAAATTCAAGAGACAGATCTTTCAGACTCCAGTCTACCCAGAACAGATTCCCAGCCACTGATGTGACAATGCACTAATAAAGATAATTAGGTTCACATTGTTTTCACAAAAACAAATGTCAGTTACCTAAGACAAAGCGAAATTACCTTGAGAATAGTGTTAGCTTTTAGAACCAGAGTTTGCTACCTGCTGTTCTTTACCAGATTTTCTGACGAGATAGAACTGTTCGACCTACATAGAAGGCCCTACAAATCACCTGATCAATCAGGGATCTTCGTCAGGTACCTAGAAATTACACAGCTCTTGCACGTCACCTTCTATAATACATCTTTTTTCTTGTTTATGGTTCTGAAAATTTCTGAAAATGTGTTTCCTACTCTCAGGAAAGGTTCGATTGTGTTGATGTGTAATTGCCCAAGCCGTGTCCTATGTGATGGAATAGCTCTTCAAAACTGGGAAATCCTGCAAACTGAATGTTCTCTTATCCATGCATCATTCATTCATTCAACAAATATCTGTTCAGAACGATTCTGTCCAGGCCTTTGACCCTGACGGCAACACCACAAGGTGGACGTCGTCTTCACTTTGCATCAGAGAAAACAGAGGCTCAGAGTCTAAGCAAATCACGTGCTCTTAGTGGCAGGGCCAGGACTTGAACCTGTGGCTCCCAAACATTACTCTGTATAACTAAGAACCCCTGGGGTTTCTGAATCGGCCAGGGCTCAAGAATCTGCCTGTCAACAAGCACTCTAGGTGGTTCTGCACCAGGGTTGTTACTTCATCTACAATATGCCACAAGTGACAAACTGCCTGCCCCGTGCCAGTGAGAAGAGTTACCAGGAAAGGCTGAAGACTCTTGAGCCGTGTCACCAGGATTATTTAATATGATGTTCCCTGTTTCTAAATAAGCAGATCAGGCTGGCCCTGACCTGCTGATCTTCCTTCCAGAGGCTCCCAATGCCTGAACAGCCCATCCCATCCCCACGTTTGCAATCCAACATGCGGGCACTCTTTATAATGTTTGTTGAATGGATGAATTCTCACCATACAAGAGAGTGACAGACAAGCACATGTACTTTTTATTGCAGTCACTCACCACCCTTAATATTTAGATCATCAAAGAAGTTGGGACAAGTGTTTGGATAATATACAACATATCCTTCACCTTCCTGATGGCAGAACAGCCAGGGAAGAAGACTAAGGACCAGGTGTCCTGGCAGCCTCAGGGAAAAAGGGATCAATTTTGATTAAGGTAGTATTCCAAAAAAAAATTAACTAACCATTTGTATTACTAATGCCCATCACCAATCCATAAGCCAGGGGTCTGTGGAAGTTACTTTGGAAAATATTGCTATCAGGGAAGAATCTGGAGCTCAGATCTCTGCAAGGCCCAGGCAGGTAACACAGTGTGGGCTCATAAAACACAGTGAGTTGGGGAGACTGGAAAATTGAAGCAGGGAGGGGACTGTGGAAACCATATAGCGAATATGGACACTATACCCTCGAAAACCTGTCTCATCAAGGAAGCTGAGACAGGTTTTAGGAAAGATTGAAAACTTAGTGGATTTTATTGGTGTTAGCAGTAGGGTCTCACACATGTATGGGATGGTGCATCCAACTGAATATAATATATGCACCCCTAAAAAGTGTTTACTCCTGGGGTGTAATTCGAACTTACTAATGTAGTTTTCTATTTACAACACGCACTGGTGTCCCTGCACCTGTACCACGCTGCAAAAAAAGAGTTTGTTCCTCACGAGGTCTCTTTAAAATATTAAGTCAACTTTTCAAAATCAGTTAATTTCACATTCAGGGCCATGTTTCCAGTTTTTCTTGGGAAAAAAAAAAATCAGAAAATCTGGCAACACTAGGCCAGTTTCCTGGCGTGGGGAAAAAAATTATTTTCTAGTATTAGGTGACTTTCCACAGTCATTTGAAATGTTTGTCATTCAGCAAACATTTTAAAAGTGTTTACCATGTGCCAGTCATTTGCAAGGTTTTAAGGATAAGTAATAAACACAGTCTTGTCCATCTTGCTGCTTCTCAACGTGGCCCATGGCCCAGCAGTATCGGCATCACACAGGAACTCGTTAGAAATGCAGAAATCTCAAGTCCCACCCCAGACATAATAAACACAGTCTCGTCCATCTTGCTGCTTCTCAACATGGACCAGCAGTATCGGCATCACACAGGACCTTGTTAGAAATGCAGAAATCTCAAGTCCCACCCCAGACTCACTGAATTAGAATCTGCATTTTAACACAATTCCCAGGTGATTTATATGCACGTTAAAGTTTGAGAACACTCTCGGCAAATATTTAGATTGGACACCCAGAGAAAGTGTTAGTTAAAAGACACGTCCTCACCCAGACTTACTGAATTGGAATCTTGTGGGTTGGGTTTTCTTAATCTGTACTTTAAACATGACCCTCAATTTGCAACTCAAGTGTAGATTCCTTATAGAAACCTAAAACTACAGGGAAAGCCAAGCTCTATCCTGAGCACTGTGTGAAAACAAGAGGCGTGAAGAGCTCTGCGTGGGACGATTCAGGCCAAGGCCACCATCCTGAGGAAGAGTGTGCGTGTGTGGTGTTTTATGTAGTATCTCATCATTCCAGCAGCCTTTGGTACACTGCAGAAACGGAATTGAGTGCTGGATGAAGAAGTCAGATGCTTTTAGGAAACAAAACCTTTGCCAAGGGGCTTTGGGACGGGTCGGTCCCTAGACCTGAAGGCACGTTGCCTGGAGCAGTTCCCTAAATCCCAGAGGACAAACCTTGAGAGAAGTATGGCGGCAGGGAGGCGCTCTGCAGAAAATTACTGTTACTGCGGAGACAAAAAAAAAAAAAATTTAAGTTGAGTTGAGGCGAAGGGTCCAGGTGGGGGCCGTGTTAGGGAATCTGGGCTGCAGGTGCTCCTTTTTATATTACTTCCCACCCCCGCCTTGAAAGCATGGGAGCTGAGCAAAGAGAAGGAACTGAGTGGACGTGTCTCACTACTGTCCCAAGGGGACCATCCCAAAGTCCAACGAGCTTCGCCAGCCAAAAACAAACAACAACAACAAACCTGTTTAAAAGTTACTTTAAAAAGTTGGCTGCAGGTGAGGTCTTTGAGTTTGGGGAATGGCAGAAGTCCTCTGGGGAGAGGACCTCTCTTTGGGAAAATATAGAAATGGGCGTATCGTTTGGGGACAGTGACTCCCTAACGGTCGACGACCAGAGGGCAGGTAGGTGAGAACAAGGGAGAACCAGGTGGCTCTGCGGCAGCGAGTGACAGCTTCTGCAGAAACTGAGGTGGTGGACAGAGGGCCTGTGGGGACCCTAAGTGCTGTTTGCTCCATGGCGAGGAGCAGCGCCCACCATTAGCCCAAGCTCTCTGAACAAGTCTGCTCTCTGAACAAGTCTAGGCATTAAATCATCATCACGTGAGTGGTATTTTGCGAGAATCAAGGACAGGACTGGAGCCTAGTGCGGGGTGAACCGGCACAAGAAAATGAAAGACACGGAAGGAAAAGAAAATCAGCTGAAGAATGAGAAGCAGCAGCAAAATATCCACGCCAGAGGCACCCGAGGAAGATGGAAAAGTTTGAGAATCCTTCCGGATATCTGACAGTGCTGGTGCTTGAGTTTTCTCCCATATTTAGGGTGGGACTGGGACTTCCCTATGGATATTAAAGGAGACGGGGAGGCCTTGGGGACACCAGGAGGCAGCCAGTGGTCTTATGAGGGAGAAATGACCTGAGCCTTTCTCCCGTTTGTGCCTTTGTCTCTGGACAGCCTCACCGTGGGCCCGGAGAAACGCCGTTGCTATGGAGAAGGCAGACCCGCAGGAACAAAGCCCGTGCCGTGAACTCTCACTCAGCATCTGCCAAGTGCAAGGTACGTTTTCTCGGTCTCCCGTCCAAGACGCACGGTGAACTCCAAGTACTTAAATTAGCTGGGTTTCTTGAGTGGTTTGCTGTTTGTTCGTTTCAACTCTCAGAGTGAAAACATTCCCCATTTTCTGCCAAAGAATTTATTTCGTCCAGGGTTTCCGTGGGGAAGTCTGTTCTATACTCCTTGGACCCCAAGCACAGACTCGGAGGACAGAAGCGGATTAATACCCGTGGCTCTTTATGCTCAGCTTGCTTTTGGTTCTTAAGGCCCAAATGTTCTGAGCTTACTACACACTGGTTCATTTCTTTCTTCCTCAACCCACCTGACCTTAGCTCAGCATCAGTGGACCCAGATGCTATGTTGAGTTAGAACTGAATGACGTTGCCACAAACCTCTCTGAGAACACTCCTGACCCGTGAGATGATGGGAGCGGGTGTTTGGGTGACGGCTTGGTAGATCTCGAAGGGAAAGTGTTGGAGCTCATGGACAGCGGTGTTGGCTGGGGCAAAGGTCTCTGATGCACTGTGGGCGAGACAGAAAGTAAAGTCGATTGTCAGGATCCAGGTGTCACAGGAACATTCTAGAACTGCTCCCCAGTTAGAAACAGCTAGTCTAAAGGGAGATTCAACAATCTGAAAGATCGAATGTAATTAGGAAGGGGTAGGATGGAACCCCACCCCTGATAACTTTCTAGAAGATTTGCCACCTTAGAATGCAACTTAAAATGCTGCCATTCTATATCGTTCTCCACAATACACATTTTATTTTTTTCATTTTTGAAATGCTAACTTGGCCAAACATCGTCAGTTGAAACCATAGAAATTTCAGAAATGATTCACAAGTTTTGTTTTACGAAAGCCAAATTTTATGCCGTTTCATTCTCCTACAGTGAGTGATCTTTTACTCACATATGTTAGAGGGCATAAATATTAGAATTTTTTCTATCAAGCCATACATACAGTTTTTAATTTTACTATACTATTAAGTAATTTGCACTGATGTGCATGAACTTAACAGTTCTCATTGGTAACCCCGCCAAGTAATTCCATCTTTTTAAGAGTTCATGCAGAATACCAACTGACATATGTCTACTTAATAGTAATTTCACAATTTTAATCGATTCTATAGGGTTTCTGTACTAAATAATTCCATTCGAATGCCTGAGCAGAAAGACGAAGGAATGAGTTATACGATGTAAGAAAGCTTTTCTGAACGTACCGTCATCTTCATCCTGGTGAGGGGAAGAAAAAAAAAAGGCATTAAATCATCATCAAAACATGATTCCTAAAAGAACTATATTCCTCAATAATACAAACGTCTCCATTTCCCTTTAGTGGTTGTGCTACTCTACTCTGCAGTAAATATTACTCCACAGTAAATACTGTGGAGAGCAGCAGAACTTGCTAGTGGTTTATGATTTCTTAACACAAACCAGCATCAAAGCGCCTCCACTCTGGGTCTGTCCTTACATACTTAGCATTGAAGAGGTTCTGAGGTGCCTAAAAGGGCCCAAGTATATAATAATCATGACAATATCTACTACGTGCCCCCGAAGATTCATACGTGGTATTTTATCCAATTCCCCTAGCAATCCTTCAAGAATTTAACATCTTCATTTTACAGATGGAAACGAGTCAGTTGGAAGGGGCTGCTAACCCACCGAGTGTTGCAGACATAGTATTGGTCCCTCATCTCTCTGATCTGAAGCTCGGTCTTCTTTCGGGCTCTGCTTTGCAAAGGCCACTGGTCTTAAAAGCAACCCCACCTTACTTATTTATAATGTGGCTTACAGGGCGTGTCTACATCCCTCAGCATATTTATCTTCAGGGCATGAGAAATGCTGGAAAAGGCAAAAATTACACTGCCCTTGACTATACACCAAAATTGCCACCTTGGGCTCGTTTTGTTAGGCCACATGCTGGTGATGAAAGAGAATTTCCTCAGAGTGTGGTTGTGAGAATTAAATTAGTTATTTATCACCTGCGCCGGGCATGTGTTGAATGAGTTAGCTGTCATTAGTCTACCACTGAGACGAGGCAAGAAGCATCATAGTCAGAATCATTCAGCCCAGCTGGCCAACCGGGTGTCCCCACACAGGGGCTCAGGGAATTCCCACAATGAAATCTCTCCTCAACACTGTTGCGACCTTGTCATGTCCACTCTGGTTTAAAGGTATACATCTCCCAGATTCTCACGACACGAGCATCAACCCTTTCAGAGACCGGGAACCTCAGGAATGTGATGTTATCCTCACTTTCAATCTCACTTCCTTTTGTCCCTAGAGCTTTGCAGCCAAGCAGCTGTCCTTATCCCCATAGGCTCCATGGGCATTGCTACCCACTCGCCTTTTCTCGAGACATTCCTGAGGCCGGGATACATCCGGGCTTTCTCTTAGGATGACTCTATTCTGTGTCCTCCCCATCACTCAATGACCATCACAGATCTCACCTCCGAGAAGTCACCCCTGGCTCCTTGACCCCCATGGATCACTTTCTCCCCTTTGCCTCTGTAGCTCTTTCCAGGATCATACTCTGCTCGGCATGGCGAATGCAGATTTGCCTGTCTCCATCATATATTAGCACTTTGTCTGAGCAAGCACAGAGGCACTTGGGGGCTGAGCCCTTGAACAGGGGCAGGTGTGTGACAGCCTTCGGAGGGGAATGTGGTGTACATGGTGTAGAGGAAATCAGACAGACCTGGATTTTGATCCTGGCTACTGACTAGCTGTGCAACTTGCAGTGAATATCTTACCCCTTCTCAGCTTCGGTTTCCTCTTAGTAAAAGAGAAACTATGATACCTCATAAGGTCATGAAGTGCAAAGCAGTGTGTGAAACTGGGGTGCCCAATGTTCCTGGTTTGCCTAAAACTGATGGAATTCCTGGAATGTGAGACTTTTACTGCTAAAACTGGTGAAGTTAAGTCCCAGGCAGACAGCTGGTCACCCAAATGCAGCTAGCTTGGCAGCACGCACACATTAGGCATCCAATAAATGCTATTTTCCCTCTTTCTCCAGCGGTTGGGTATTAAAAGGTAAAACAAAGGACTTAGAAACTTAGCTGCCAGGCTAGGACTCTCGGGCATCTCTCCCTTTATCCTCCCCTCTGCCCATTGCCCCTTCATCTTGCTATTTTGCCACCTGGTGGTGGGGCTGCCATGAACCCAGCCACCCTAGGAGCTCTCACAAGGGGCAGGAGCTAGGCAGTGCAGCCCGGGGGGCAGGCGGGAAAGATGGAGGCCCCAGCAGGCCCCAGATTCAGGAGCCCACAGTGGCTGGGCCTTGCTCTGGTGCTGGACCTCGGTGAAGGCTGGGGCAGAGGGGGCCCCAACCTCCACGAGCCTGCACTGGTTTCCCCCACGCCAGGCATTCACCAAATGACGCTGCGTACTTACATTCTCTCTTCTCTCTGGTCCCCATCCATGCCTGAAATGAATTAGGGCAAAGAAAAAGAACTGAGTTTGCAGTGTTTCAAAGAGCCAGCCTCAGAATACAGATAGTTTCACTTAATCTAATAACGAGAAATCAAACCCACTGAGCCGTGATAAAGCGGGAAGCAAAAAAAAAAAAA